CGCAGCCGCGGACCCAAGCCGCGGCGGCCCGAAGCTGAGACTCACCCATGGTGCTGCTGTTGACGCTCCTCTCCTCAGCAGCAGCGGATCTCGCACTGACCGACATCCCCTCCCCCTCCGCGCCTGCCCGGGAGCGGCGCAGCCCGCGATTCTCCAAAGCCGCCTACGCCAATTCCGCGGCGCAGCCGCCGGGCGTCGCTGCTCCGCTTACGCAGCCCGCAGCGGACGGACTCCTCCTCCGGCTCTCACCCGACTCCCGCTCCCTCCTCCGCCCCCGCCCCCTCAGAAGAGGCTTCCGGGCCGAACGCAGGCTGCTGTGATCTCGCGAGATTCCTCCGGCCCTGCCTCACCGCCCCGCTCCATTGCGAGCATGACTTCATTGGCGTCTGCCCTCTTTGGCTGCTTGGGTGCAGCCGCCATGTTCAAATTGGCGGGATCCGGCACCCCGGGAGACACGGGTGGTCAGGCCTCTGTGCATGTTCCTTCAACACGGTCTCTAAGATTAAACAGCCGCACTCGTTGGTCAGTGAAGAGCCTGGGAGGGGGAGGGAGGGGCCGGTGGGGCGCGAGGGTGGGGTGTGCCCGGATTAAAGATGGCCGCCGCGAGAGCCGCCCCGCGCGATTTCACGTCAGGCTTCGGAGAGGTGGGCGCCGCCCGGTTGGCCAGAGCACCTCCTTACGGAGTTGGCGTAAGGCGGAGAGGCGCCACGGGAGAGGCCAGGCTGGGGAGCGGCGCTCAGGGCCGGGGCCTGGTCCACGCCTGGGCTCCCAGCTCCTGACCTGGCGGCATTGTGCGTGGAAGTGAGGTGACACTTCGAGGCAAGTGTCTGCCCCGGCCCCCCCTCCTTTCCTCGGCTGCCTTGGCTCTGGGTAGAAAGTGAGATTAGGCCCCGCTGCGCCGACCTTCCCCTAGCGCTGTCACTTCGGGGCCTGGCACAGCCAGGAGGTGGCCGCTGCAGCTTCCGCTGCGGGCTCTCCACGGTCACTGGGTAAGCTCACCCTGTGCCCGGTTCCGGCCTCGTGGGGCCCGCACTCTAGTGGAGAGAATGAATGGGCACACGTGAGACTACTGGGTGACAGTTAAAGTCATCAAGGGCTGCAACTGTGTGGCCTACGGGTCAGTGAACGCCCCTCCATCATCGGCGCCATCCCCAGATGCTTCCTAGTGAAAGTAGCTTCACTTTGCTCAGAACAGTCCATGGGCTCCTGGGCCCTTCTTGAAAATTAATGGCTGTCTTCGCTGTGTAATTCAGGCACACGTGTTATCTTTCCTGTTAAGCTGCTTGTTAAGGAATTGAATATATATATATATATATATATATATATGTGTGTGTGTGTGTGTGTATATATATATATATATATACATATATATATATATTCATATTTATGAGCCGGTGTAAGTGTGTTCATAGCAGTATTGCTTATATTAGTGAAACAATTTTAATGCCTGTTACAGGAGAATAGGTGAATGAGTTACATTGTTGGGCAAATTGACATACACAGAATACTAAATGTACATTAATGAGCCAAAGGTACCAGTGTTAATTGAGATAGAGTTCATTAACATAATATTGGGGGGGAAGCAGGTTGCAGAAAGGTGTATATGGTATACCATAAATAAAAGTTTGAAAACTTGTGAAACTCATACAAGGAAATGATAGGCACCAAATTCAGAATAGTGATTACTTACAGAGAGGAAGAGAGGGGAATGTAATAGACAGGGTTCACTTGTATCTAAGTTTTATTTTCTACCAAAAGTAATCTGCAGAACAATGTTGCAAAACCTTAAAGCTAGATGGAGGACACATGGATGTTAAATTGTAATTATTTCCTATACTATTCCTTATACTTGAAATGTTTCCAAGTAATTTCTCTCTTTGCTGAAGGACATTTTGTCTAAGGAAGCAGCTTGTTTTGTGCCTTAATATCTACTGTTTCCTAAGCCTCCCTTTGCTCCCTCGTTTCTCCTCAGGAGAAAGAAGAACCCATCAGAGGAACTCCGAGGACTTCCTGTCTCCATATTCATTAGCCTACCTGCCTCCACGCCCATCCTGTCAACAGCGCCATGCATCAGGTATCTGCCCCATCTGAGGCACAGATTTCTGCATGTTCTCTCTTTTGTCTTCCTGCCTGTCCTCTGGATTCTGTTTCCTCCTGTCTACCTAAGAACTTTACTCAGTGGATTATTTATTCATTGCCATTGGGTCTATCCCCTACCACTCCACTGAGATCTTCCACAAAGTCACTAACAGCCTCTTTGTTCAACTCAGTGGTCCCTTTTTCTGATTTTGCTTGACCCCTCTGCAGCATTCGATACTGGTGACCGTGGCCTGCTGCATTTACAGCCCTTACTTGTGAAACCACACTTGCCTAGGTTTCCTCTGGCTTCTTTATATTACAGTGTCTTGACTTCTGGAACCTCCATCTTCTGCCTGTCGCTTAAGTGTCCTAGTCAGTTTATTCTTCTCTCAGTTTTTATGCTCTCCTTTGCTGATTTCATGCTCTTCCATAGACTCAATGACCACCTCTATGCTAATGACTCCTAAATATAAATGGCTAGTTCTCTTTTCTTACTACCAATCTGCATACCAGACTGCCTTCAAGATGTATGTCCCCATGTTCCAAGATATCTCAAAATAGTGTATCCCAAATTAAATCCTCATTTTCATTATACTTGTTTCTTTGTTCTCAATCTCTAAATACCATCATCAACCAAGCCCCTCCCTCTCACCATTGAGGACCATCAGAAAGTCCCATCAGTGTTTCGTTCTCATATATGTGTAATCTCCTCATTTCTCTCCATCCCCACTACTCCTGTTCTAGCTAGGCTGATATTATCTCCTGCCTCGCCTCTCTGCAGTAACCTGTCTGCCTGGTTCTACTCCAGCTCTTTTTCACATTGTACCCAGAGTGAAAGGATAAGATGGTTTTTACAGTTTTGAAGTGCTTTTACCTTTAGTGCAAGCAGAAGGACATGTGAATGGTGTTAGGTCTATATGGAGGTTTTCTTGGAGGGCCAAGAACTCACAGCTGAGAGTACAAATGAAATGGCGCTTCTCATGGAACAAGTCTGTCCTGTTTTCTACAATGACAGAGCCTAGTAGACATAGGTTGGGTGGTAGGGGTGGAGCTTGAGGTTTCGGATGTGGATTTTATTAAGTGGGTTAGGCAGTCTGTAGTATTTCCCTGTTAACACTAATACCCAAATATTCAAAAAGCCCTTATATGCTCTTTATTCCTCCTCTGAAGAACTGAGAAATGATGTCAGAAATAGCCATTAACTAACTAAAATTTTTTCCTTGTTAAATTGAAAAATATATAACTTACTCAAAAGCTGGAACTAGTTTCATATGAATGAATATTGGAGTATATTTTGTTCACATCAAGTTTATAATATGAAACCTCATAATTCAAGATATTCCTCAAGAGAAATGTTCTACCATCCACAAAATCTCTTTTAAGTGTCATGAAATACAAATACATGGAATCAAGCCAAGTATGGTTTAAATATTTCTTTTAACTTTTAAATATTTGAAAACAAATAGTGCATTCCAGTATTAAATTCATAATTAAATAGCATAGTTATTAGAAAAAGTTCTGTTGAGATCAAAGAATGTAACCAAAATATTTGACAGTGTTTATGTTCTGCAAATGAAAGGGAATAGATATTGACGTTCCTTTTTTATAGATTATGAATCTATACAGTACAGGAAGTGAGTGACATTTGCAAGGTTATACAGCTAATGAACAAAAATTAGAAAAAATCCTACTTCCTCTTCTTTTGAAAAGATCAAACCTCACCCCACAGACGAAGAGAAGCCAAAAGACACAGCAGTGATAACAAACAAAAGAAAAGAAAAGGGGAGAACCATGCAACAGGAAGACCTGAGACTTAACCAAACAGCAAAATAGCTGTTTATATAACAAATAACTCCCATCCTTAAATTCTTTACCTTAGAAGGAGGGATTTTTCTTTTTCCCACCAGTCCAAGAGGGGGTGGGGGGAAAGCAGAACAGAAATAGGATGTCTGAATCCTGACTGCCCAGGGAGGCCTGATTTATCTCAGCTTATCACTGGATGCTTAAGGAATTTTCAAATTCCAGGGCTCTCCTGGAAACTTGGTTCTTATGCATATAAAAGCCCCGCTTCCCTCTGAGGACCCTGTGTCCCTGGTAATAGACTGGCAGCACAGTTGCCTCTGGGACTCAGGGAAGAGAGGAAGCCATTTACTTTGAGATTTTTTTGCTAATCAGCACCTTGTTGTAGAGCTTTCCAATCTGATTACACTGTAAATATACCACTGAGCACAATAGTGGAGAAAAATCCAAAGTACATAAAAGAAAGTCTATTATAAGTGGAAAAGGCCATTGTTGCCAGCTCCCTTTGGCATTTTCTACCACTGAATCAAACTGACTGAAATAGGAAATGGGGACGCATGGTTCTATGGGAAACCAGCTGCCTTCAGCAACCAGAGTTAATATATTGACTTTGGCAACGACTGAATACCTCCTGCTGTATAAGAAAGTGAATTGAACTCAACTTAAGGAAGTTTATGTAGTTGACATGCCCTGGGTTAGAGCAAGGCTATCACTTTAGCACGCAGTTGGAACCTACCCTCTCCAAAGCACTCTTCCTAGCAGACCTCTGAGGGAGCAACTGTTTCCTGAAGGCTCACCTCAGAGAACCTCCTATCCAGGAAAACAGGAAACTGAGAGAGGAAGCAAATGCCTGTGCCACACGAGTGTGCTGGCCTTAGGTGAGGCGATTGCATTGAGTCACCACGGAGACCGACTGGTGGACAAGTGCTTAGTAATAGTTAAAATAGTATATTGCTCCCTTCCTTTTGCTTCCACTGTATCTCTAATCCTTTGACATTGATTGGATCTTATTCTAGGGAGATAGTTAAGCATCAGATACAGAATAAAAGAGCAAATAAGGGTGGCATTACATTGTTACCCATGATGTGATCCACTTTGTGGAAGGAGTCGCGATAGGGATTTATTGATGGTTTTTAGTTGATTTTTCCCCCTTCCTTTTGCTTCCAGAAATTTGGCAGTAAATTAACAGCTTGCCAGTCAACCACTATAAACAGATAAATAGATTTTATGAGACCAAAATAATCATCCCAGGTGGTAGAAATACAGCATTAAACACTCATGTTGAGCTATAGATATTTCCCGCTGGAGTTCTTATTCCAAAAGGTTACATTTGTGTCCTGCTAGAATCTAATATTTTAAGAGTTGGAAGAGACTTTATAACTCTAAATCAACTACCTACCAAATTCAGAATCTTTCTCAAATATAACTTTTTATGTCATGTATAAGGCCACAATACCAACTATTCAAACTCTAAATGAAGCAGATGTGTTACAGCTGATACCATACTGCTTTAGAGCCCTATAGTTCACATACGGCATGGTGTAACTCTCCTTTCTACAATTTATGGCCCACAAGTGAGCAAACTCTCCTGAAATCCTTGTTTCTAATCAAGGTGTTCATTTAATTGCTTGTTATTTCAGAATATATTTTTGGTTTGGGCTAAATGTCAGTGACATTTAGATACTGTTAATGAGCACTAGACAATTAAAATGTTTTCTCCTGAAAAATATAGCTGCTTTGCAAATTTGTGAGCAAACATGACCATGAACTACCTTTGCTATGAGACTGTAGACCTTGAAGGTGGGCTAAATTTTAACTATCTTTTTATCTTGTTCAAACCTAGCATAATGCTTTGCACACAGTAGGCACCCAAATCTTTTTTGGAAATAATTGCATATGCTTTTAGGGTTCATTCGTAGCTTGGAAAACTAGAGTAGAAAAAGCAGCACCAATAAAAGGGCAAAAGAAAAAAAAAGTGGAACTTGAATATTGCAAATAGGAAGAGATAATTATATTATCTTCATATTTACTCCTTAATTTATTCCTAACTTCCATTGTACACACATATATCCAAACACATTGAGGAAAAAAGTCAGGGGAAAAACCCTTTCCTGTACATTTCCCCCCAGATTTCAAAAGGCAGAGATTTCTTTGTTTCTTTAGCATCACGTTGAGACTTCTCGTTTGCTTGGGGCATGGGAGGGGGCGGTTGGCATCACCTTGACAGTCGCCTGAAAGGCTCAGCTGGTACCACCATTGGCAGGGTTGGGGGAGAGAGTGGGTCCACCCTACTTTTCCTGTGTCAGCCCAGCTGCTGCTTACCCTTCTCCCACCCTCCTGATCAGGTCTAGGTAACAGGAAGGCCTGACTCTTGGCTTCCCAAGAGCTACTAACCTGTTGGGGAAAAGTAAGCAGAAGCCTTCCCAGACCTATGGTGCTTAAGCAACCAAAGTGGACTCTGGAAAGAAAACAGAGAAAGAAGAGATTCCAACAGTAAAACTTCTTTCAATCACTGGCTGTTAGTCTCCCTCTTTCTTTCCATCTGTCACCAACACGCAGCCACCTCCAGCAAAGCAATGCTTCACGTTACAAGTAAAAGGAATGGCTGAGGGGAGAGAGAAATGTTAGGAGACCTTGAGACCAATTATTCCAGCTCCTGTGGCTGTAATTCTGGGTGAGTCACTCTTCAGGAAATCCAAAGAATGTCAAACATGTGAATGTTACTGAGGATGGACGTGGAGCAGAGTGGAGATTGTCATTCCACGTAATTTCAGGTTTCATTTCTGCATCTTCCTCACAGAAGCACAGACACATACGAAGGCTGAGGGACAGGGGTGCTCAGGAAGAGAGATTGTGGTAAAACACAGCTTCAAGGGGTGCATTAACTCAAGCTAGCCACTAGGTCGATCAGAGTGATTTAATTATCTTAACCTAAAGATTTATCTAACGCGTTTAAAGTAATCTACAAAGGTGAGCTATTGGCCCTGTTAATCAGTGCAAGAAATGTGAGAGAAATTATGTGGGAAAGATTTTCTTCTCACTGTTTCATAGTTCATGTAATAAAAATAGAGGCTACTTCAGTGGGTAAATACCTTAATAGCTTCTTCCTGCTAATCTAAATGCTGTGCCAGAATGAGATACATGAAAAGCAAGTTCACAAACATCCAAAGATTCTTGAGATTCCCCAATGTTCACAGTAAACAGTCCTTATTAAATAAACTGCAATGAGGAAGGAGGGTAAGGAAGGTAAAGACGGACAGAGAGAGCAAGGGATCAAGTAAGTAGGGAGCAAGTAACCAGAATACCACGCGGACCTCAACTCAAAGGACACCTTTCTGTATTAGTTTGCTAGGGCTCCCATAACAAAATAACCACAGTCTGGGGCTTAAACAACAAAGATTTGTTTCCTCACGGTTCTGAGGCTCAAAGTCGAAGATCAGGGTGTCAGCAGGTTTGGTTTCTCCTGAAATCTCTCTCTTTGCAGGTGACTCTCTTCTCTCTGTGTCCTCACGTGGTCTTTCCTATGTGTGTGCATCCCTGGTGTCTTTTTTTCCCTTTCTGGTGTCTTTGTGTGTGTCCAAATTTCTTCCTCTTATAAGGACACCAATCAGATTGGATTAGGGCCCCACCCTAATGGCATCATTTTAACTTAATCACCCCTTTAATTGCCTTATCTCTAAATATAGCCACATTCTGAAGTACTGGGGGTTAGGGCTTCAACATACGAAGTTTGAGGGAACGCAGTTCAGTCCATTATACATAACCTGCAAGTTGGCAGAGTCTAGTTCTATATATATATACCCTTTGAGTTGGCTGTTCCTAAATTTATCCTAGAAAAATAACTAGCACATATGCCAAAATGATATTTACATAAGGATGTTCATTGCAGCACCACTTGAAACAGCAAAAAGCCTAATTGTACATTAACAGGAGATTTATATTATAAATTATAATCTAACCATACAAATAGAATACCAGGCCTGGAAAGATGTCCAAGATACTATGCCAAAAACTTACATAAGAGCACATTGTATAGTACAAACTCAGGTTTGGAAATTTTGTATTTGTATAGGCCTGGACAAAGGTCTGAAAGGATATATATCAAACTGTTAACAGTGGTTACATCTAAGGTATGGGCTTTGTCGTAGGGCCTTACACTTATTTGTATACTTATATAATTTGAATTTTTGCAACAGATGTGTTTGGTTTAATAACTGAAAAATGAAACCATTAATTTTTAAGTTATTTCCCGAAGAACATGGGGTAGACAGGTTTAAAGCCTATAAAGTTTGACAGATATTGTAATAAATAAAAACTGTATTGAGCATCTACTATTTATCCATTCCACAAATAATTTGTTATTGTTAGGCAGGCACTTTATATATATTACACCCAATCCTCAAAAAAATTTCTCTAGGCAAGTTTTACTGTTTTTATTTTATTATGGCAGAAAACAGGGCTTAGAGAAGTCAAGTAATTTGCAAAAGTTACATAGTTAATAAGCAACAAAGCCTAGTCTTTGGTCTATTTTATCACTCTGCCTTTTGAAATTACTGTGCATACAGGATACAGAAAATTGTCCAGTTTAACATTATCTTAGAGTCACATTTACAGGTCATTACTGTATTCCCTCACCTCTAAGTCTAAGTCTATATCTATCTACCTATCTATCATCTATCTATCTATCTATGTCGATCGATCGATTGATTATATATTTCACAGCCACTAATCGGAAGTATTTGCCAGAATAATTTTGAACTTATAAGTAACTTTGATAAACAGAGGGAAGTTCCATGGTCTTGAGCTCTCATTGAATGCTGGTTGTGGGTAGGGAGTCACTCTTGTTTCCTCTGTTTATTGTAAGGCAGGGCAGTACTGGTCTTTGGAGTACTAACACGCCAGTGTCTGGGTCTGTAACTTCGGTTATCGAGAGAAAAATGCTTTGATGGCCGGCGCCCCTGATTACCGTCTTTGTGGAGCACACACATACACATTGTTCCCTGTGAAACCAGGACTTTGTGCAGACAGGCTGGTACCATGGTATGAAAAGCACTTCAGGGGAATCTCAAGCAGCAGGACTCTTGCTCATCCCACGCCTGATACTTTATTGTTTCCCTGCAGAGAGCAGCAGGACCTGTTTGAAGGGCTGTAGCCTGTCTTCAAGGTTGGTTTCTGGGAATTCAACATGTCCTCCAAATCCTTCCCAGCTCCTGCCCCTGACACCAGTTCATTCCTCTAAGCGTCTGCATTCCTTCCAAAGCAGTAGGTCCCTGAAGCACAGTGCTTTCACCCGCCATCACACACGTATCACATGATGTGGATGGAGGTGACCAGCACGACAGTTGGCACCACCTCAGGGACTGGAAGAAGCAGGGAACACTGGGGAGGCTGGGGGCACAAAGGAAAACCTGGCATCATCACTGTTTCCTGGGACACGCTGCTGGGATTCATGAGGACCCTGTGGTCAGGAGTCACTGGGAGTGTTTTCACTCACTAGAGAGTGGAGTGTGGAAGTAGCTGCCTGCTGTCTCATGTGAGCAGAGCCCCTTGTACTCAAGAGGCCTTCCTAGCTACACCCCTGGGTGAGCCAGGTGAGCCTGACAAGCCTGTGCCCCAGCCCTGCGGGCACCGTGGAGGGGCCAAAGGAGTGCAAGCTCTGCAGTCAGGCTAACTGTGACTCCTCCACTTCCTGGCCGTCTGGCCTCGGGCAGACCACCCAACCTCCTAGGGCTGTCATGAGGACGAAATGAGATTATGTAATGAAGAGCTCTGCACAGTGCCTGCTACACAAAAGGAACCCAAATATCACACAGCCCTTTCTAGGTCCTCGCTGAGAGCTCCACCAGGACCAGAGCCCAGCCTTGAACCTAAGCCCAGTCAGCTCTGAATCCTGACTGCTTGCCCAAATCCTGCTGAATCCTTCCTCTTGGGCCGTTTTCATATCCTTTCCGCCATCAGGATGCAGCTTCAAACACGTATCCTGCCTGCCTTTCACCCACTAACTGCATTCCATAGATGGCCATGCCAGCTTCAGTCAGACTGGAGTTAGCGCTGGTCCCTTAGACTCGGTGATTTAGACCATGGTTCTCAGCCCTTCCTGGGACCACGCCAGACTCAAACCGCTCTGTGTGTGGAGCCTAAGGATCTCATTTTAAAAGCTCCCCTTCCCCCACTGCAAGGGCCCCTCCCTATTCCTCACCTGCTCTTGCTTCCACGCAGAAGTTCCCTGCGTGCTGTGGAACCGAGACCTGAGCATCTACTTTGCAGCTCTTGGGTGCTTGATAAATGTCTATTGAGCAAATGAAGGCTTTCCGCTGGGTGTTAGTTTTTGCCTTACAAAGCTATTAGCACATACTATTTGTTCAATAAAGATTGGTTCATGAATGATTAAAACCTGTTTTCTTTTGGTGTGGAGTTTTTCTTGGGGAGGGCAACTATTTGGGAGAATGCCTGTGGGTACAGAAATTCCTCAGAAATAAATGAAGTGATAGCACGTGGAAGAGTTTTAGGTAGCACAAAGGGACATGTGGAATAATTATGGTGTCATACCATCCACGTATTAGTGTCAGTACATTCTAATTTGTTGTGGAGAAAGGGAACTCAGCTGAGCAAGTTTGCATAGGTTACCGAGTATGTTACCAGGAGAGCAAAGCAAGGAGGGGCTCTTACTAGCCCCAGCTCTCCCATCACAATAAAGGGGCATCTCCTTTTCCTTCCCTGTTTTTTTATTATGAAAATTTTCAAACATATGCAAAGTAGAGAGAATAGTATAATAAATTTCATATCCATTGCACTGTGTCATCAATAATCAGCATTTTGCCTGTACTGGACCAACCTATGTGATGCAAAGTAGGGCTTCTGAGTTTGCTTTTAAAATTGTTTGAAAAGCATGTGTAAATAACTGCCTTAGGACTGGGTCAGCATTCTCTGGAAGGACTCGGGGAGGGCATGTCCTCCCAGGGCCCATTTACATATATTTCCCAACATCTGACTAACAATCCCCCTTTGAGTTGGGTGATGACCACATCCCAAACCCTGCGAGGTCTCCTGTTGAGTGTATATAATAGAGTCACTGTACTTGTCCTTGGATAAACAACTTATTTACGTTCAGAACTTTAGAAAATTGTGACTGTCTCCATCTGGGGTACAAAGGACCAGTGAGTCCAGTGTGCTGTGGCCACTGCATTCGATGGCTCCAGAGGTGCCAACCCCAGGATAGTGTAATGTAAATGCAGAGGGTGACAGGGCGAGAGAGGCTGCAGGTCTGGATTCGTTGACTGTAGAGAGAGTCTCCGAGTGTGAACCTTTATACTCTAAGGCAAACGTTAGGCAGTCATTAGTTTCACATTGAATACGGGCAACCTCTTGGGAATAACTGTTACTGGTCCAACCATTAATTTAAGTACATGGTGATGGTACTGGATTTAGCTTTCTGAGTAACCAGTTTTATTTTCTACTTTACTACAAGCTAGCTCATCAGGTGCTAAGTTGTACCCTCTGACAGTGGGAAGGCATTAATGTTAATTAAAGTGTTACTTGAGAGGACTCTACCATATCATGCTCACTGAATCAGTTTCACGTTAAGCACATGGCTCAATATGTATTTACTGAATGAACCAGGTTGCGTGTCAGCCTATGGTAAGTCCTGATGCCGAAAACTTCTGTTTCCAGCAGAATTTGAAAACATTCACCACCATCTTCTTACTGGAAACCCCACTGGAGCCCGTGTTACATCCTATCGGCGCTCCTGCCTCGTGGACAGCTTCTGTTTCATTTCTGTCCAGAATCCCTACATGCTACCCCCCTAAAACCAGACCTTTAAATGTAACATTTCTGAAGACTCGGTGTTCAGTCCTGTGTTAGCTCTTGAGAGTCCGTTGGTAATCCCATCCTATCTTACAGCTTAACCTACCTAGCTGTCCCCTTTAGAGGGTGGCTCCCAGCTCTGTACCTTTATCCCTCATCTGTCTTTCCCTAGTCAGGCCCTATTCCTAACTGTATGCTGAGCGTCCCACGCTGACCTTAAACTCTGACCTAAGTTAAACTCATCGCTTTTCACTGCTGTGTTTTTTATCTTGGCTCAGCAACCCAATGGGGTCTCCTTCCACCACTCTCTCTCCAGTCAATCATCTGGTCAGTACCCTTCTTCAAAACTCATTAACTCTCCTTGTCTGGGCCGTTGCATAGCCTCCTTATTGGTCTCCCTGTTCTTGATTTTTCCTCCATTTAGTAGAATAACTAACTTTGCTATTCACATAAGTGCTTTTGCATTTAAAAGAAAACTTGTTCCCCTGGTTTGGCTTATTGAATTGCCTTTCCCCACCAATACCTTAAATGTTGGCTTTTCTGAACATTACTGCTAGAGTCACCTTCCAAAGGTTCAGATCTAGGCATATCACTTGAAGCTCAAAGACTTTCTTGCCCATTGCCTTCTATAGTCAAAACCCTCCATGAGTAGGTCCAAATCCATCATTTTAGCATCATCTCCCACTCAACTGCAGCCTGGTCTGTGACACGTCCCCCCAAACAGGCCCTGTACTCTGGTGCCTTTTCTTAAACTATTGCCTCCATCAAGGTGCCCTTCCTTCCAGACCAGCTTTTGTTCGGTTCAGGTCATTCTCCTTCAAAATGCTCTCCCCTCTTCACCAAAGTAGCAACAAGAGGCTCCCCACATTATTAAATAGTTGGCTGATAACGGGAACACAGAATTTAGGACAATCTGTCTCGGCATCCAATTGTTTCTCTTCTCCATTAGACCAATCACTTAGTAGACAGGGACAGAGTTGAATTCATTTTTGTGCCCAATGAATGTAAAGCATCCCCATAGTAGTGTTTTATTGTTTACTGAATTGTTGGATTTTATATCAAGAGTTGCTTTGATTTGACTGATAGAGTTAAGAATAAAGTTTAGGTTGTTTTGGGGAGCAAGATTTTCAGTTCTCCTTAATCATTTGGTCTTTACTGCAATATAAGTTTTCCATCCATAATAGAACTTCTATAGCAGGAATTATTCAGTGAAAAAAATTTACGATATCATATCAAAATAAGTCATTGGCTAATACAAAAAATAATATGTTAAGAGGAAGGCACAGGGCAAGTGAAAGAATATATGCAAATGTCACAGTGTTTCTGATTTTAATTAAGAGAAAATGTATGTAAAATGCTTACTCATTATTTGGTACAGACTAAGTGCTCAGTAAATGTTACCTAATATTATCATACAGCAAGTAAAGGGACTGGGAAAAACAGCACACTTCTTCCTATGTAGCCTACATAGTATTGTGTGACAGCTGATACTAACTTTGAACTGCATTCAATTTTAAGTCAGTCAGATATGTCTTTTTAGGATAATTTTGAGAGCGAGTATCAGAGAATAAAGCATGTGAGAGATAGCATGACATAATTACCCACATGCACTATTGATGAGGATTTGGCTTCCCTCTGTACCGCTTTATATTCAGTGGAATAAATAATGGTGATAATTGTCACATTCCTAACAAAGACATCTGCTAAACCAGGCAACTCAGGCAAAGCTGTTGCTACTGACAGCTTGCTTCAAATGTGAGTATTGGCATTAAGAGAAAATAGAGTTTCTGTATTGATCACATTACCTAATCTGTTTGTTGGCAGTGTTTCATCTGGGACCAAAAGATCCGACAGTCAAACTCAACATTTAAACTTCTGTATATGCTTAAGGGAGTATTAGAAGGTCTTTCCTTTTTTGGGTTGTTGTTTCAGTGTAAATGCAATGTATTTACACGACAAAATCAAAATCCAACAGTTAAGACTGGTAGCAACTGAAGAGTGAGTCTTCCATTCTCCCTACCACCCTTCCAGCTCTCTAGGGGTCGTCTTTGGAATCACATGCTATGGAAAAAATCACATGGGAAAAATAAAAAGAATAAAAACCAACCAATTCCACTTTATGTTACATACGGTCTTGAATTTCAAAAAATTCCAGTGGTGCGTGAAGCCCAAGACAAGTCATTCCACCTGTGGATTTTTCTCTGTTTGTCAGTATCATCACTGAAAAGGTCTCCGTTCCAAAGTGTTATTCCAAAGGACCCAGAAGAATGAAGGGCTCACTCTCCATTCCCTCACCTGATGTTTGATCACTAAGGAGCAGCTGAAGCACATTCACCCTTAGACCAGAGGAGAAAGGCC